CACACATACACACACCGGAAATCTGTGTCACCCGCTGCCCAGCAGGTCCAGTGACTCCCTGAACGCCTGCAGTCTGGCTCCACTGGCCTGCAAGATGGCAGGAGAGACGGGGGAGGAAAAGGGGGGATTGAACGGAGGACAGAGAAGAGGAGGCGGCGGAGGGGAGGAGGAGGAGGAGGAGGAGGTGGTGGAGGAGGAGGGGGGAGGGTTGTGAGAGAGAGTTGGGGGAGGTGGTGGTGGAAAGCGGATCCAGGGAGAGGGTGAAGAGGGGGGGAGAGAGAGAGACGTGGTGAAGGGCAGGGAGAGAGAGCGGGTGAGATGAAAAGCAGGCCACAGGGGGAGAGGAAAGAGAAACGCAGGGAGGAGGACGGGGGAGATGGACAGCAGGGGGATGAAGATAACCAGACAAAGAAGGAGAAGGACTGAAATGCGACGAGATGCGGGGAGGTTAATGATGGATGCATTGTCCGGATAGCCGGTGTGCGCCGTCACAGACCCCCGTGGAGCTTACATATGTTAGCACCGGCGGCCCTGCCCACTCCGGAGGAAAAACTCCCCTCACATGCAAACACGCTGCAGCGGAGCAACCTGCCAGCCCAAGGCAACCTGCGCTGGAGCTGGGCGGACCCCCTCGCTCATGAGCCAGACCTTTGAAATTTTGGCCACTGCGTGCGCTCGGAGACACTGTGTCTCATTGTGAATGTTTTTTTTTTTTTTTGGTTTTTTCTCGTTGGCCGTATCCCCAGCGTTAGGAAATGTGTAACAGCTTTGCAGCAACAGCATCTTTCTGAGATCACTCCTCATTACGCCTCTGTTATCCATTTGTGTTCACTTTTATGGAAAACATGCTACTCCTCCGGCAGAAACACAATGACCCTTCTCACATCCCTGAAAAGCTCCGGCTCATCTTCCTTCAGGTTGTATTTTGGTGACACCTCAGGTCAAAGGGGGACTCTTGACCTTTGACCCTTAAAGCTGTTAAAGGTGGGATCAGAATAGACCGGCCCCTATAAACAGCGCCGCCCTCATGCTGCTCATTAAACACCAGCATTACAAAAATTACATTCCAATTGTTTGCAATTAAAAAAAAACCTTAATTGATTGCTTTCAGTTTAATCCAAAAATAATGAATTAGCTCCCTAAACATTCTCACATTTTGGTCCTGGGAGGTAATATGTACACAAAAATCTGTTAATCTTTAGCTTTGCTGCTGATTTTTTTTAAAGAAGCTTCCAGGAAGCTCAACAAAGCCACGGTGATAAAGTCTGTCTGCGTGCACGGATATTTGATCACGGCTTGTTTTCGCTCTACCTCATGATGCAGAATTGATTGTTGCCAATGATTATTGATCCTGGACTGGCTTCTCTCCCTTCCAGAGAGCAACACATCTTGACCAGAGCTGTGACGTCAGCTAGCTCCTCAGTTTTGTGACATTTCTTGATTGTTAAATGAGTAAATTTATTGTAGCTATTTTAGAAAGCGTCAGACAATAATATTTTTCCCATAATGCCATGAAAAAAACAGGATTTTAAGAATCAAACTTAAACTATAATCTAAGTCTGCAATCATGCTAGCTACACTGTTAGCATCAGCACAGTGCTAAATGCTAATGTTAGCATGCTAACATACTTTTGTTTAGCACGTATAATATTTCTGCCTTCAAACGGAAACATGTGGTAACAGTACATGTAAGTAGTGAGAACAGTGTTGCTAGGCAACAGCAACATGGACACCACCGAGGCTAACCATTTAGCATGCTAACAAGCGGGTAACATTGGTAGGAACTGCTAAGGCAAAATGGAAAATGAGGCAGTTTTTAAATTAACAGTTTCCTGAGACATTATACAAGTTAAGAAAGAAAATCTATATCACTAAAATTAAAATATACCAACATACTATCCCCGAAACATGAACTTCTGCGGCCTCCGCTACTTCCGAAATCACTAGCAAAAAACTCAAAATTCCCACTCACAACATCCTGAATACCACAGAGAGGGAGAATTTTTACATAAATGCGGTAAAATCGACCCTATTTGAAGGCATTTGCCGTGTTCAGCAGCTTTGCGTGAAATCATGCTAACAGTTAGCTAATTAGCACCGACGACAAAACACAGTTGAGATAAATGGGAGTGTCGCTGGAATGTCTGAGGTTTAGCTTTCACCAAAGTACCAGAGAAATAAAATTCATCACTCTAAACAAGATTTCAGGGGATTTCCACAATCATTTCTGGGCAAAGCGTCTCCATTGTGGATCAAAGCGATGAACCAGGCAACCAGCTAACGGTCCAAAAATGCTTTTCCTGCAGCCATGCCTCCAGTGTTCATTGGTGTCTTCGTGTTTCACAGTCGCAGTATTGTAAATTACAGAACTGATCTGCCCTTTCACTATAATTTTGTCTTTTTAACCAAAATTAAAGCAGAAATATTACGTCTAGTTTTTTTTTTCTTTTAGAAGACAACTTCCATTCTCCACATTACCTAAGGCATAAATGTCTAAAAGCATTTGTGTGACTTTTTATTTGTTGATCCACGCTCAAAAACTTGAATCTCATAGGAAAAGAGATTGAGACGCATCGTACCAAATCTATCAGCTAATTTCCATCTGCAGCCCATTTTCAGGTCAACACAGTAGTAAATGTAAAAAACTACTAGAAACAAATCAAACCATGTGGTCAAACACATGCACTCCTCCAGTTAATCACCAGTACTTTGGAGTCATAGTGTTTAAAAACCCAGACAGTTTCCATTTACCGTTTAAAAAAAAAAAAAGTGAAATACTAAATCCAAAGTTTGGATTATGAGGTGAGAGAAGGCTTGATCAGGAGTTTGCTGTTAAAACATTGTGTAACGTGTACAAAATGTCTGTCTGTAGTTCCTTTCAGATGCAAAACGGGTCATTTTTAGAATTATTTTAGGGTTTATTTACATGTTTTAGAGAGCATACTGTTATATGGTATTGGATTAAAGCTTTAATATACAAAACATAGAAGACAACACACTACAGCCAAATAGGGAAGGAGTTCATTTTCTCCCTAAGCAGCTCAATTATAACGTGAATTATGACACATAAAGTCGCTGAGGTCACAAATGAGAAAAAAGGTCCTTCTAGTGCCAAAACTAATGCTGCACCTACTGAGGCGTTATTAAACAGTAAGCAAAGCGCTGCTAAACGTCTGATCTCCTGATTTATAGCGCCTCTGCACACTGACTTCATTCACTAAATTACATGTGCTGTGTTTTATTGTCTCTGGGATTGTGTTTGAAGCGAGCTGTCATGCAGTCAGGTGCTTGTTGTGTCCCAATTTCACCTTTGAAAGCAATCGAGGGCAGCGTCAGACTCCTACAGCAGATAGAAGCACAACAACAAGTCAATGACATGCACTCTCTTAAGGAACAAAGATGAACGGGCTCCTACAATGCTTCGCTGGGAAACCCAACACTGTCCTACTATATATAGCGGGGCTTTTCACACTGTGTGCATGACTGCTCGTGTCGAGTCACATGATTCAAGATATATGGGTGGACACACACACACACACAGACGCACACACACACACACACACAGCTGAGGGTGTGGAGGTGGTGAGGGAATGCGAGGAGGTTTATTGAGTTGACTGTGACGTTTCGCTTCCCGTGACCAGACTCTCATTTGCTCTGTCTCCCCCAGCGTCTCGCCCTCTGTCTCCGTCCAAACCACATGCTAATCAGCTTTCTGTGCTCGACCGTTTGATCTCCGACGGGCCGGTTTCTGATGCATCCCGCTGAATAGATAATCATTGTGCGACTGACCACCATCAATAACTTCTGTTATTCCCCCCTTGCGACCCCACCTACCCCCGAACGACGCACGCCACGAACAGACGCAACTTTGTTCGGAACGCGACACGAAGCCGCTCTTTTGGTTGGAATAGTTTGTCCTTTTTCACACAAATAGAAAAAATAAGGAGGAGCAGGAGCAGAGTTTTAGGTATTAATCAGTGACCAAGTAAAGGGAACATGTGACCACGTAGTTAGGTAGTAACTGCAGCTCAAACACTCCTTAAACCTTCAAAATCTTGCTTCTCTCACGTTGCGATCGTGCGCAGCTTCTCGCATCTGATATCCCTTTAAAGCTGCGAGCGGAGCCTATAAACATTTGTCCAGGGATGTGTGTGTTTTTTTTTATTGTTTCAGACCTCCACACCAACCAGCACACTGTGAGGTGCTGACTCCTTAAGCTGCAGGAGAGTTTGAAGGAGTTCAAATCCAAACTGGCTGAAGTCACACAAGTTCTTTTTATACATGCTGCCTCTAATGTGATGACGGAGCAGTTCAGCGAGCCTAAACATAGCAAGAGTTTCAGGGCCCAAAACAAGCAGAATAATTTGTTGCCGAGCCGAGTCACTTACCCGAACTCACCCTGTCGACTGACCCCGGGACGACCGATCACGAGAAAAGTGCAAAAACAAGCAAGAAGTTAAGATGCTAGCTGTGAAAACATCCTCGGGCAGCGACTGAATGCAAATGACTCATTATTAGGCCAGTGCAAGGGGATCGCTGTTAGGTACAGTTTACTTCCTTCCCACAGCTTTCAGGCACCATTCACTGCAAAATAACATTTGCACCGTTGCCATGGAGGTGTGTGATTCTGTTTAGTTCACATTTTTATGGAGTTTTGGTCTGGTGATGACGGATGACAGGGAGATTTTGTGGTTAAAAATGCTATTTCCAAGGTCAAATCAATAAATATGATAACTTGAAGTCATTATTTTATTTATGAAACTACTGTAGACAGCCACTGAAACCAGGGAGGAACAGATGTGCTAACATCAGCCACATGGACAATGCTCGCGTTTACTTACTAGCAAGTATGTTTTATTACATTCAGAAACTTACTTTAGCGCGTTAACATGCCAACATTTGTTAAACAGCACAATAAAAGCTAGTATAAACTACATCTGAGACAGAGAGGCAGAGTTTTTACAGGTGTTTGGACAAGAGTTTATTAGAATTTATCCCGTCTCGTTTATAGTCGTCAAGACGATTCACTAAAACGAGCGGCACCGGAGAAAAAAAGATAGCGTAATTCATCATCTGGAGACCACGAACGTCTCTCCAAAATGCGATGACAGTCCACATAATCGGAGTTGACGCGTCTCACAGAGATGATGGATCAACCGACTGGCAGGCCGACGGACCCTCGAGCCTCGTGCTGCTGAATCCAATGAGCTGGATTAGCCAAATAAATAAAACCGCCGCTGTCCAAAGTCCGCATCTTCATTCTGTGTCTGCACCATAAATCATCGACGGTAAGTGAAAGTGAACAAGAAACCAGACGCTAAAAGGCTTCTGATGAGCAGGTCGGCGCTTGTCAGTGAATGTGTGCGAGCGAGTGTTTTGAAATCCCCTTCAGAATAAAGGTACTACATGCAGTATATTCAGGCTGTTTTATGGTTTACCAGTAATGAATTCCTTTTATTTTACCCTCAAAACCCCCGCTGGAGGATCATTGTGTTTGCTGAAAGTCAGAGGTGTCCAACAGTTCGTAGACAAGGACTACATTTAAACAGTTTGGATCAGTACAGAAGACAATAAAAGTGTTTTTTTTTGTGATGTTTCAGTTCCCAGCAACTTGTTTTCTGACGTCTCCGTGAGAAAGCCAGTGTTTTCCACCTGTAGTCAATAGTCTGTGTGTGTCTCTGTTTCTCTGGACACCTCGCTCCGTGTCTGCCTGTCAATCACAGACGCTATGTGAACTTGAATTTCAACTCGACATCAAAGCTGCTTAGTTTTATCATTCAGGTTGACTTCGGTTCAAAAGCTTTCAAGTCTTTGTCTCGCTGCAGCCCCCAGACGTTTCTCTGTCTGTGGGTCGGACCTTGAAATGAGCTCTAATAAAGTGTGTTTTAGTTCACAGCTCGGGTTCATGCGAGGACTCATTTCTTTCCATGTGTGTAACCTCAGCCAGGACCGTCGCTGAATGACTGAGCTGTTATTCCTGCGGCAGGCCTCGGCGCTGGAGGCTCCCTGGGATCAAGTGTTGCCTTCGTAGGGTGGACGCTCAGGGAGTCCTAATGGCGTCTGCTCTGCAGGTGAGCAGGTTTGGCAGGTAGAGGCGGTTTGGTGCAGGCAGGTGACGTGACGTGAAGATCACCTGCGAACGTTTTCCTGAGCTGAGCCACACGACTTTCTGGCTTCTCTTTGCAAAGCTCGGCTTCTGGGAGACAAAGAGAGAACGAGTGAGTTTCCCAATCCTGGTGACACTGAATTAGCAGCAATCAGCAACAGAGTGTTGGATAATACTGCTTAGAAGTAGCCTCACATTTATCACACACATTGAAACTGGTGTCTTGTCACAATAAACTACTGCTTTAAAATACAATCAGCTGAATAAATACCAGTCGTTGTGACAGATTAAAGCACTGATCAATTTATAAAGTAAAGTCAACATTAAAATGCGGTTTTACATCTTTGTAAATTATGATCATGTATGTTATGATACTGTATGTTTCTGTTGGTGTGAACCGCTTTTAACATCCTTTTATTTTTGCTATTCGTAAACAGTAGATGCCCATAAATTATATAAAGTTGTTTTCTGCCGCTGTGATATTTCATAATTTTCCTGCATGGCATTAATGAAGATCATCTCATCTCGTTGTATAGTTTCTTATTTTATTATCTTAACAGTGCACTTATTTATTGTAAGGCTACATTTACGTCTAATGGTGTATATTTAGAGTTATTAATCATTTTTTTCACCAATGGATGCAAGAACTTTGCTTTACAGTTAATAAAACAACGGTTTTTGTAACCAGATTTCATTATAGATTATAGATTTCATTACAGTTAAGCACGATAAGATTCCAGAGATCACATCTAAATGCTCGAATGTTGCGCCGTTTGCACGTTAAGATATGGACGCATCCGGTATCAGACTTTTACTACGTGATTATCGCGGCCGAAAGAATTCACGATAACGATATTATCGAAATAACATCTATAGGAAAAATCGAACGAAATAAAAAATGGAACGACTCAAATTTATCTCTAGCTCTATACATTTTGTGTTTTGTCTGTTTGGGCAAATTAATTACACTCAGAACCACAACGGTACCGTATGTTGTTCCTGTGTGTCCACCATGTAGTCACTAGATTCACAGCATCAATATTACATTTACTAAAATATCATAGTTGTTGTTATTATCTGTATGTTTCGATACCTCTGCTTTGCCTTCTAAACAGCTTCTGTGAATATCTGTGGATCAACTAATTGGTAGATTTTGTCATCCTTGTGGCCTACAAGTTGTGTTCATGTCCACTGTGTGTGTACTTTGAAGTGTGCCACATGTTACGATGCACCCAGCGACAATCAGAAGCTTTTAAATTTGAACACAAACACACACACGAATCCGTTTTATCTCCACCTCTTCCCTCCTGTTTTCTCACCTCTGTCCTGTGCACCAGTCCTCTCTGTGTCTGACAGCTGGGCTTTGAGCGGCTGGTTGCCATGGCTACTAAGATGGGGCCTGTAGAGAGGAGCCCAGTCGCTGAGGCTGTCCGAGCTGCTGCCTGATTCGCTGTCGCTGTCCTCGGCGGGGTCCTTCAGGTCGTCGTCGGCGCCGCAGGAGTCCATGTCCTCCTCGGACGATTGGTCGGTCGGCGTAGGTGGGTCATCCTGTGTGAAAGTGGGGCACAACCGGACGGTGAGACGCCGACACACTCGTCATGTCACCCTCCCAACTTTAAAACCCCGCACAGAAACACTCACACTAACATCTGCGAGGGGCAGCTGGATGTCTTCTTTAAAGCCGAGCTGCTGGGCCTCTCTTCCTGGCAGCAAATCGGCTGTCTGGATGCCATTCATATTATCGCTGTGGAGTCTGGAAGACAAAGACGTCCATTTTTAGCGCTACAGACGGCCTTCCCAACCTTTAAACCAATCCTCTAGTCAGTCATTTGGCAAATAACTTCCATAATCAAATTGGGACGAGGAGACTGCTAGCTGTCTGAAACTCTTCAGTTCACTGTTGATCTTATCAAAGACAATTAGAGTTACGTAATACCTATGAGGATGTGTTGGTTTGGAAACATGTTGTCCGGGATGGATCAACTAACTACCAAAGCCGGGAGAGACTAACAGATGTCAGGCCATCAATTACAAAGAATCAGGCTCTTTTCTTTTAATTTCATGCTTAAAAAAAAAAAAAAAAACCCCAACAAAGATCATTATCTGCTGTGTAAAAGCAATTAGTTTAGCATTCTTTGAATTTATTTGGCTCCGCCTGTGAAATATTCAAAACACAAGAGATGGTTATGATCTGGGCGACTGTGACGTTTCCATCAATTCATTTCAGAAAATTTGACCGAACAGATGAAACCACACGAACAAGCCAATGTCTGTGAAACCTGATTCTGGTGTTCTTTAGAAAATAAATACATGAAAACATAAGACGACACTGTTAGTTTGCATTCGTGTGTTGTAATCATATTTAAAGAGCCAGAATCAGTGACATTTGAATATTTCCTGTATGAAAGACATGAGCTGATCATTCTTGGATTTATCTGCTTCAGCCGGTGACATAAGAGAAACAAAAGAGGTTTTCTTGTTTTGGGTTGTTTCTGTCAAATTCTTTTAGAAAATTTGAGCTACGACTAAACCACACAAAGGGTTTGTTCATTATGTGGAAAACATGATGAAGCAGTTTGTGGTTGAATTTTTATTTTTATCTTTAGCTAAAAACATACAACATCTTCCTGTTATCAAAGGTTTTGTTTCCATCAAATTCTTTAAAAAAAATCTGACCTGAGCAACCCGTTTCTGTAAAACATTCAGCTGAATTTTGTCACAACGCCGCCTAACAGATACGTCTCATTTGCATTTGCACGTCCTAGTTGTGTTTAAATCAGTGTCAGAGAGCCTGAATTAGTGAATCTGTGTTGACATTTTTAAAGGGCTCATTGGCGTCTTGTGTTTCTACCTGTTGTTCATGAGGCCCTGGAGGAGCCTGGAGGACCTGAACTCGTCCACCTCTCCGATCACCATGACGCTCACGTCTCCGTCGCGGCCGAGAAGCCAAGTCACATGTTTACTGGAAGCTGGAAACACAAAGAAAACAAAAACAGGTGAGCCTCATGGGAAAATATATTTTAATCACAGTGTCAGGATCTAACACAGACTGAATTAGTCCTTTTGTATCCGTTGGTATTCTGGCGTTTCACCAGAAGGTGGTGCTGTCTTACAACGATAGCGTCCAGGAACCATCGCAAACCAGCACCAGACTTCCTCCTCGTCACAGTTGAACTTTTTCAGATTAGCTGTCTGTCTTCAGTTAACGTTTTCCTTTTCATGAGGCCTTACACCATCTTTTTTATGGTCTTTCCATTTGAGTTATTGTGTTTCACTATGAGACAGTTTTCATGTGGGATCATTATGAAAGAAAGGAGTGAAAGAAACTGAAACAGCAAGTAAAAGTGGCTTTTCTACCTGTAGTGAGAGCTTAGGGCTGCATTTAACTGGTTTATTAGAAGCCTGCTCTAAGGTTTGGACTGGAAATGTTTAGTTTTCAGGACATTTATTTTATTTTATAGAAGCTAATTAATGTTCTAATTTACATTTGTCACTTCTAAATGACTAAATTATGTAACAAGTCACATCTACGTCCTGGAAAACATATTTTGACTCATCGTGACGCGGTAGTCAGAAATAGACCCCACAATGAGTGACAGCTCAGATGTTTTCCATGACTGCACCTGATAAAGACCAAACACCTGCCGTGATGTCACTGATGGGGGGCGTGGCTTGAAAATTCAAACCCTACAGAAGCAGCATTAGATTTCTGCCTTTAAACACACAGCGGGGTCACTTCTTACAAACCAGCTGACAAAGGGCAGCCCTGTTTCTGCTCATTTTTAGGACCTTTATTTCTGCGTTATCTGACAACACTCAATCATAGTCTGTTTGTCCGACACACCTTTGTTTACGCACTAAGTTATAAAATGTGATAGCGGCACTCGGAGGCGGTTTCCATCACAGATCTGAGGCGTCTTTATTGCGACCGCACCTGCAAATTCACCAGAAATCTGCGCTCACAGGTTAATCGTGAAAGTGACATTTAAAGGCCTGTCTGTGCACGTAAAGGCACAGAACAGAACAATACAAAAAGACGCCTAACTGGATTGCATGTTGTGTAATGCAAACACACGGGTGACACACACTGGGCTGCCTCTCGGGTGACACGGCAGAGATTGGGTAAACAAAGATGGGAACTTAATATGTGGTTTAAAGTGTGGTGACGCCCCAAACCGCGGGGCTTACTCAATCTTATTCGGCTCTCAGCAACACAGGAGGACTCGACCGGTTGTCCGTCTCGCACAAACGCACACAAACAGACACACACTGGCATTGTGCGGCTGAACCGGTGGAGGTGACAGGGTATCAGTGAGTCAGATTAAATGGAGGAAGGCTGGGCGAGATGAGTAAGACACACAGGCCACTGGCAGAGCAAATCCACAAAAAAAAAACAGGATTTGTTTGGGTGTAATTTAAACACATTAATCAGATTGGTTACCGGAGAAGGTGTCGCTGCACGGCTTGTGTTTCGTGACTCATGTGCACGGAGGGTTAAGAAGATTTCTGGTCAACGTTAATGAGTTATTAAAGAGCTTACAGGTGCCATTTTACAAAGTCTGTATGTTTGTAGCTCCTAAAAATAACCACTAAGGATAAATTACATTAGTTTACAGTAATTAATTATAGCAACAGCTAGTTATTGCTTTTCAGTGTCATCATTAACTAGTTGTTAAAGGGAATATGTGGGTCATTTTTCAAAATTTGTATGTTTGTAGTATCAAAAATGGTTTCCATGGCTTAATTACATAAAATAGAGAACACGACGTGGTAGTTATTAATTATAGCTGCAGTTAAAGTACAGCTAGTGCTCTTTCGATGTCATCAATTAATTAACATTACTTAGCTGTGAAAGGACTTAAAGGTTACATTTTATAATATGTGAATGTTTGTACCTCCCAAACATGGTTGCCAGCCAGAAATGACCTAAAACTAGTCATTATAGGTGCAGTAAAAACGCTGTAAATACTCTGTTTGTGTTGTCATTTTATGCTTATTAACATTCATTAGTTGTAAAATGAGCGTACCGTAATAGTAAATAAGCACAATGACATTAAAAACTCTGTAATTACTTTCTGTGTCGTCAATAGTCACGCGAAAAAGTTATTTTTGGGAATTAAATGGAAAATTTAATGCTACTCGTATGTCTGCCTGCTAAATGAATCTAGCGTTAGCAGCCTGCTAGCTTAGCATAGCATAAATACTGGAAACTGCTAACATGGTAGAAATACAACCAAGAAACGGTAAGCAAACAACATGAACAAAAGTGCAACTTGTTGTTTTTACACGAAGGTTTTTGTACAAATTAAAGAAACTAGCTAAAAAAAAAAAAAAAAAAAAAAACAGACAGCGCTAGGCTAGCCATTGCCCCTGTTGCTAGCTTGAAATTAAGCTTGTAACTTAGCTTAAACGTGTAGCTCCCAAAAATGGTTGCCAGATATAAAGTACATGAAAAAATTTACTGTAATTTCTCTCTTGGTGTTATCAACACCTGCTTCTTAAAGTTTTTTCTGGCAATGAAATGAGATATTCAACGCTACCCTTGCTAGCAGCCTGATAGCGTAGTTTAGCTTAGCATGAGTGCTCCCACTGTTGCTAGTCTTCTCGCTTAAAATGAAGCTAACCAGCTGCTGAGTGTAGCGCTTAATTCAACAAACATTAACAATATGTCAAATAAATGCTAAAATCTGTAACTCTTGCCTAATTTCAATAATAAATGGGTCAGTTCAGGAAGTAATTTTCGATATATCTTCATCAGTTTGCTTGTAGCATCAGGTGTTGGACTGTAAAGAAATGAGAAGCAGTAGCTACGAGCTAGTCGCAATAATTTCCTGTTTCAATTACATTGTTGTCAAACTGACGTTAACCAGTACCCTTTATCTTTCCTGTAACAACAATGGCTTTCTTGCAGCCACTTGGTGTTTCCCTCTTTAGCATTACTGGAAATGATGATGAATAAGACGTGTGCGTGCTGTCCAGGCCAGTTTAACCAGTACAGTCAGTGTTGTACTTTACCTTTCTTGGGCCTGGCATTGTCCTGTCCTTCCCTCTCCTCCCTCTCTTCCCGCTCTTTCCAGCGGCGGACCTGCTCCTCCCTCATCTTCAGGAAGAGGATCCTCTTCTGCTCCTCGCTGAGGGCCTCCAGCACCTCCGGCTCCACCCACATGTCCTCAAGGATTTTAGCCAGCATCCTGCCTCTGTTCGCCGGGCGCTGGAGACGGCCGTCAGCCCCTCTGGCAGTCGGTCCAGTTGGTCAAGTTTCAGCAGTGGGGTATGATCGCTCCTTTTTCCTGCTCTGCTCAGTGTCAGGTTGCCTTTTCTTTGAAGGATGTGGGGTCAGGTGAAGTCTTCAGCTGCTGCAGGTCAGCGTGGCGTCCTTTGTGAAGCGCTGCAGGAGCTCTCTGGAGTTGGAGGTGGAGGTGCGGCGTGTCCGGATCGACTGGGCAGTGAAGGCTGCTGTTGTGGTTTTTAAAAAAAGAAAGAGAGAGATTAAATCTACCCTATTGTTTTGTTCCCCCTCCATTCAATGCTGTCCAGGCTGGCAGAACACAATAGGCCCTAAGCAAATAAGCCACAATGCCAAGTGTAATGTGTGAGTGTGTTGCCGTGTTGTGTGCAATGCCTCTGTGCTTTCAAACGCTGAAAGGCAAACAGGAGCAGGTCCAGTATGTCAACACACCCTAACACAGGGTGGGGTGCTAATGACTCCATGCTATCTGTAGTTAACAGACAGACTGAGAACAAGACTCCTGCTCCAGTTCATTTCTTCACACAAACACCACGACAAGTGTTTTTGCACCTTATCAACACACGTGACGCTGATAGCCATAAACAGCCGTCCCAGATAGTCGGAACCGTTCGGGAAGTCCTCAGGAACAAAATCCCAGAACACAACCTTTTACCGTAAACTGTGCAAACACTGTGTATGACGGCGACCTCCCCTCCCGGCTGCAAACACTTTTAAAAAATGTGGAACACAGCGAGAGCCAATAGGGTTTGTGTCCAAGATAACAGCTCACCAATCAGCACTTAATATCACAGTAAAGCGACGGGCGCTGATAAAATTGTGAAATATCACCCCTTCTGTTTGGGTTTCAGGTGTGGCCGCAGTTGAACCATTAAATGAGACTAAATCTTCGACTAGACCTGGAGTAATTCTATGGTTTCAGCCTGAATGAAGCAGCAAAACAGTCATTTTCTGCACCTGACATCTAAAGCAGCACTGATAACAATGTTTAACGTCTCTGTGGTCATGCATTAAACCCTTTAAAACTCACCTCTGTGCACCAGTGTTACGGATTTAGAAGTTTTTTTCCACATAAATAATGCCTGCTTGGTTTAACTAAGCTTAAGTGTGAATGAAAACCTCAAAGTCTGAATATGATCATCAGTACGCTGCAGTTTCAAGGTGGAAATACTCAGCAATGGAGCCTTAATGTGTCTTTTAGTGCATTAAAAACTTCATACAGACATGATTTTTTTTTCAAAATATTTTTTTGCACAATATGTCTTAAACTCTCTGACTTCCAAGCAAGTTTTGGGGTATTTTATTTCTCCTTTGTCACAATTTTACTCACTGTGGATGCATTTTTTTACTGCAAAATAAAGTCATGCACCTCTATGGAAGCAGCAAAACCAGACCTAGAAATAAAGAGAACTCAAAAATGCCTGTGACACAGTTATAATGCCATAAACCATAAAAAAAAAAAGAAAAATCAAAAGTTGAACACTTAAAAAATATATGTATTTTTTAAAAAAAACCCAAACTGCAGTTTTCCTAGTGCCCACAGATAATAAAGATTTAGCTAAATCCTAATAATTTCCTCATGGACTCATCAAAAGCTAAAAAATCTGGTCTTGCTTCCTGTTTTTTTTTTCAGTTTCTGGCTCTGATAAATGGTGTAATTTCATTTTTTTTAGAAGTAAAACGTCATGTTTTGTGGTTCAAGGGGCTGAAAACAGATTAAACTTGCTAAAGGAAAAACTACTGAGTGCATATTCTCTTCAACATTTTAGAAAATAACCCTTTTTTTTGGCATAACTTACAGGAAAATAATGATACCAATCTTATAAATACTAAATTAGCTTTTAGCCTAGCAGAGGAAAACAGCTGAGCTTAATCTGAAGGTAACAAAAGTTTAGTTTTGTGATTAGTTTTGGAGTCCCTGTCCATTAAGCTGTCAGCTCTCACAGTAGTTTTCCCCTGTGAGCTCTGTTCTGCTTCATGTTCTCGCCTATGTGAGCGTCTATTGTCTAACAGTGGGAGGGACGGCGCTTTCGTATTGTTTCATTATGTAGAAGCTGTAATTCCCTTTGAGACTCTGTGATTGAGAACAAGACAAATAAACCCAACCTGACGAGATTTGCAAACATCCTGCTCCGTGGTTAATTGCCTGAGCTCGCTGTAACAAGAAACAGACTCACACCTGCATCACAGCTCCTATAATGAACTGAACGCATGGCGGGAATCAAGACAGAAAGATTCCAAACTTAGACACTTCAAAACACATAAAATTAACATATAGCGGCTCCACATCCACACACACACACACACACACTCTCTCAGCTCTCTAAAGGTAAAGCATCCAGCTCTGGCTCGGTGCCCACATGCAAATAAGTCCGGGATTTGCCTCACAGAGAAAAGAAAGAGAAGCAGAGGAGAGGAGAGGAGAAAGGTATGTGCACGGCATACTGAGAGAAAAGTTTGAAAAGTCTCTCAGTCTGAGGAAACAGTGGCCATTTCACAGCGACCGAGACGAGTGTGAGAGATAAATTAACTCTGTGCGGTGGCAAGCAAACAACAAAGACACACAGAGAATGAAAGAAAGACGAGCAGAGAGGAGGGAAAGAGGACTTACTCAGTGGTTGCCAGCCGGTAGCATCTCCCAGCTCTGGTTGTGACTCTGAGTGTGTGTGATGAGTGTGTCTTTGTCCTTGTGTGTGTGTGTGGGATCAGATCAGCAGCAGTGGCATGCAGGCTCAGCTGCTGCATTTGTACTGAACAGGAGTGGGACGGACTGACATCACGGCATTCATCTTTTCTCCTCCTCCGCCTCCTTCCTTCTGATCTCCTATTTATGATCCCGACAAGGAAATATGGCGAAATTATCACAGGAGGAGATGCGTACGAACACTCCTATAATATAACCTCACAGCTTAATCTTTCTAATCTGCTCCCTCGTGACATTAGCTCAAGGACGTGAAGAATTTAATTTCCCCTGACAGGCTCTGTAACTTCTCCCAATTGTAGCATCATGGGAAATACTCCTTATTCTGCATTTCAATTTAGCTGTATTTACCCCCCCTTTTTCCCTTCTTTCCTTCCTCCAGGAAGTCCTGCCGGCTTTGAATGAAACCATTAATCACGGCACCACATGTGCAGGAAGGAATCTGGGTATTTCTTCCACGGGATTTTTTTTTCCGTCAACAGGTTGTTGACACAGTTTTGATATCAGCGCTCATTGTTTTGCTTTCTCCCACAGTCGCCATACCATCAGATCTGGTCCAAGTCCAGTTGGAGGCTGTAAAATCTCACTCACGTGCTTCTGAGCAACTGTTCATATCGGAAAATGTGCATCCATGTGGAGATAACCGGGATGTGTCCTGGTTTTTACTGAGCTGGCTGTCGGGGGTTATGGGGGTTTGACCTGCAGCGAGTGTTTACATGCAATAAAATTAATGGCTTTGTTTTTCTGTAGAAGGTGCCTGATATTTGTAGTAGACACAACAAATGGAAGCAACCTCAAGTGAGATGTGCTTCTGCTGAACTTCCTCATCCGTAAACCCAAAACAAACACAGCACTTAATGATGTTTTTCTACATAAAACATTGTAATTTTTGCAAAAATTGCAGGAAAAGCTTTTGTTTCATATGAAAGAACAACCTATATTTTCTAAATACATACTTATTTATTGCTAATTTGTTACTGACAACATTATTTTCAATTAATTTTACGCTTTGCACTGACTAAAAGTCTCTTTCAGTGACACAAATTCCCTCCATTTTCTCTACAGTTAGTATCAAATTACATGTTTTTTGAAAGAAACGTCCTGGTAACCTATTTGGAGTCTCTTTGACCAGTAAATTTGAGATTATAAAGTGTTCAAATTGACTCAGTAATATCAGTTACAGAGCGGTATCTGTTTGCAAACATGAGCCAGCATAAGCCAGACTTCTGGTCAAACCAGACCAAGAGGGAGTTCAGTGGAAAAACCCCGGAGCATGTTCAGCTGAGTCAGAAATAGACGTCGCTGTTTGTTTGTAAGACTAAGAATGAAAGTTCTTCTTTTAAATGTGGCACACAGACTGTAGGGGGACCAATTTATTGCATCATAAACGTCTCACAATGTCAAAATGATACTGTGCAAAGGCTGAGCCACCGTTTTAGTGTTTGAGTGAGCAACAGATTCAATTTGATTGTACATATGTATTACAAAAATGCATTTTGAAATGTGTAAAAAAGCATTCAGATCTTTTACTTCAGTTAAAGTAGCAATACATCAACGTAAAAATACTCCACTACAAGTAAAAGTCCTGCATAAAAAATCCTACTGAAGTAAAAGCACCTTATTTACAGTTTTCATGCTGAAGGCTGGTCACATGATCAGTGGGAGAGAAAAGAACAAAAAACTCTTTTTTCTCTGATCTTATCCTCTAATCTTTAATTTTTGACCTTTTGAAGCATTTTGAACATTTTTTCAAATTGAAATGAAAACCATGTGACAAGTCCATCCATCCATTATCTATACACCGCTTAATCCTCACTAGGGTCATGGGGGGCTGGAGTCTATCCCAGCTGACTCAGGGTGAAGGCAGGAGACACCCTGGACAGGTCACCAGTCTATCACAGGGCTACACTTAGAGACAGACAACCAAGCACACTCACATTCACACCTACGGACAATTTAGAATCACCAATTAACCTCAGCATGTTTTTGGACTGTGGTAGGAAGCCAGAGAACCCGGAGAGAACCCACGCTGCACGTGGAGAACATGGAAACTCCACACAGACAGATCCCGGGTGTCCTCACCAGAACGTGAACCGGCAACCGTCTACCTGCAAGGCAACGGTGCCAACCACCGAGTCACCTTGCGGCCCACGTGAGAAGTCTTCTGGGAAAAGTTGTTCTTGGCTGGAGATGGTAACAACTCAACACTGTTTATGTAAGAAGCCATAAAGGTAGGAAACAAGCTTGTTATATTATCTATTGTGTAAAATCTCCATCCTAAAAGTAACTGAAGGTGCCAGAAGGTGAAGGTGGAGCAGAAAGTGTCCAATTTCCTTCTGAAATTTATTAGAGTGGAACTATAAAGCGGCATGAAATGGAAATACTCAAGTAAAGTATCTCAAAATTGTTTTCAAGTGCAGAACTTCAATAAATGTACTTATTTACTTTCCACCAGTAAGACTAAGAGTTAGAAAAGAGCAAGAGAAATACATTTTTCTTACAAACTTAATTCTGCTTTAATCCCTTATTAAAACCAACAGATGCTTGATTACAAAATTAAAAAAAAAAAATCAAACAATCAATATACGACAAACACCCTTTATGGTTACTTTCTGCCACAGTGAAAGCTTCATATGACCACAAGATCACTGAGATTTCCCCAAACTTCATTCTATTTTTGCACTTTGGACGTGGTGCAAAATGAAACCACAGCTGTCGTCAGTCAATACTGTTGAGTTTCCACCAAAACCAGCGTCTCAGTGATACCAGACACCTGTTTGTTTGTCTCTCAGTGACTATCAGGGCTGGGAGTTCAAAGTCTGTAAACTGACAGATGGCTACACTCATGCTTTGTTTTTGTGATGACTAGTATTTAACAATCTTAGGAATCAGGTTAAATTCCTTTATATCCCCAATTTAGGGGTTGTAAATTTACCTGTAACCCAACATTCACCTCAGTAGACTTATCCTAACCCCAAATGCACTTATTTAAACCTTGCCTGTTGTCCAAGAAAAACTCTGATTCATGTTAAACAGGATTTTTTGTTGATTTTTTAGCTAGTTACTTCCTTAAATGTCTGCACACACAAAGGCAGAATTCTTTCTTATCATGACGTGACCGCACCTTTCAACCTCTCTGGAATTAGTTAGTACAAGGAAACATTTACAGTAAGGAACAAATATATGATCTTTGATCTGCCATTATCTCACCTGTGTAATTTGTTGGAGTGATACACCTTGGGAAAGTCCCCGAAGTTGTCACATTATTTTTACATGTGAATCATCGTGAAGGGGAATGAACTCATTCAAATGGTAATTTTGCATGAACAGCGTCCTCTGCTGGAGGAAAACAGCAGGTCAAATCAGTAATACATGAAAGGATCCCAGTGTTTTAGTCCAGAGAGGAGGCAGTGACTAAACCCTGGTCAGGCATCAGGAAATGAGGAGATGATTGAAGTGATTCTACAGAAATATGTGTGCATTATTGATTAATCCTCAGTATGTACACAGATCTGAGCAACACTGAAGCATCTAATATCAGATCTTTTAAATGTCTTGCTCTATTCAAGTGAAAACTACAGTGTTAGTAAAGAGCAAGTCAACATTAACGCAACCTATTTAATATTCAAAAACTTGAACGTGCCCTTCATTGTTGCTGTTTATTGCGTTTTCCTGCATGAGAAATCTGATCATGACATTTATGTTGTTTTTAGAGCAATGTAGAGACAAATCAAACAAATGAAGTTTTCTGAGTATGTGTGCTTGGTTTAATCAATCACACCACAATTTTAGCAGAGTTGGGAGATTTTCTTTTTGGGTTGAAATATTCCTTTAAACTATTTTGCCCCGAGTCTTTTTCAGAACCTTCTGGGACGCTAAAGTCTCGGAGGCAAAGCAGCCAGCTGCCCCAGAGCCCCGGGTTAAGTGTCTAACAATTATTAACTTGTGGTAATTTGACTGACTGATTAATAGAACCTCAAATAGTAAAGACATTTTACCTTGTCTGGAGGCTTCAGAGTGGAAGCCTGTGTCATAATCTGCCCTCAATACATAAAAATCCTATTTCAATACAATTTGAATACATAAAAGTGTACGATATGAATACAATCAACCTTTTGCTACCTTGTACAGCCTGTTTAAAGCTTCTGTCACTGGTTTAACATTAGTTATTCAGTTCACATTGTACCTAAGTGGCACAAATTCTCCATTAAATTTACAATATATTCACTGTTAAGGTGGTGACCTCAAGGTGAGCGAATGGCAAAAGCCTGCAGCCAAATATTTTGCACCAGGTTTTACCCATAGCAGGTTAATCTGTTCTTGAATCCATTTTGGGGCCAGTCTGCAAGAATACACAATTGACAACATTTCCCTGACCTTTAACCTTTACAATCGAGCATGCATTGTAAGATAAGAACAGACTGCCAATAAGTCTCTACTGAGACCACATCTGCATAATCTATCTAGTTTCATTATGCAATTATTAATTTTTATCTACTATACATGCATAAGAATGACGATGTGTCTCATGTGACATCGATAGTGCATGCTGAAGAGGTCGACTTTTGCTATTAACCACAAAATTTACACTTCCCATCCTGCTGTTAGGGCCCTTATTCAGCAATATGATAGCATTTATTGGTATTCCAGCATGTTCTCCCCTCAACCGCTCCATGTTTAATGCATGGACTGACATAGAGCTTGCCCTATGAAGAGGCTGTGCATTAGCATGGATTCACATGAGAGATGCATGTGGTTAAACAGACCGCGAAGAAGTGTTGCTTTAGTCCCCAACGTAATTTAACTGGAAGAACAAACTCTGCTGGAGCATGCACCCCTGGGTGTTTGGCACAGCAGGCTACCAAAACACTGTATGTTGACTTTTTTCCGCATAATTTGCATAATGAGTTTTAAAGAGTTTTCAGCAGACTTTAACATCCATTTGCCACATTGGCTTTAATTATCAGGTACACCCACTGTTGATATGAGTCTACTGACAATCCTGAATTTAATAACAAATACACTTTACTATAACCAGGTTACATGGATTCAAAATGAAGCCAGCATTGAGCGTGGGTATTATCAGGGGAGCTGCTTCACTGATTACTTGATATGGCTGAATAAACATAAAGGAGCAGCAATACTTAATGCAGCATTAATTAACTTGAGAGA